AGAGGAAAAGGGCCATTGGGGCAACAGCAGCATCTATTAGAATATACTGATGATTTGTAATTCAAGTGTTCACAAGTGGAAGAGACTTGCCCACAGAAAACAAGATTTTCAGGCTCTCATCAGCGGCTATTCATTTCAAGCATGGAAGTGAGTGCAATGAAATGTTAATGTCACAACGTAATTTAGTCTCTCCCTGGGAGCTGATGTGACTGGCCCGTGTTTTCAGTGTTCTTTATCGATATTCACCACCACTGGAATGGTCCACGCCCAATGGTAAGAAAGCATCGTGACCTCACAACACGCTCCCACCGACCAACTCATAAACAGAGGCTGGGCCACAAAAGAGCTTTGACATAAATCCACCTGAGATCCTGAACTCACGTACGTGTAAGTGTATGTGTTAAAACAGGCAGTTGTTTATAGAACCACCATTTCCCCCAGGATTTGGTCTTTTTAGCAGGGATCCCAGGTCCCAGACTGGAAATAAAGATAGGAGAACACACTTGGGAAGTAGAGTCTCATTGACCCAAGTTCAAATCCTGAAGTCATCTCTTATTTGTGTGACCTGAGGTAAGTTAATTTCCCTAAGACTCAGTTTTCTTATAAGTAGAAATTAGAAGCTAATACCTACTTCACAAGTTACTGTGAAGACTGCATGAAATGATACCTGTAATTGGGGGGTGGGAGGGAGGTACAGTGTCTAGACCCTACTACCCCTAGACAAAACATATTAGTTCAACAGCCCTCCCCATCCAAGTTCTAGTCCAACTTGGCCATTCATTATCTGAGTGGTCCTGGGTAACTCATTTCATCTCTCTGAACTCAGTTTCCCCTTCTGTCAAATTCAGAGGTGGGATCTCCAAGGCCTCTTACAGTCCTAACATTCCGTCAGGTTAGTGTAGTTTTTTAGAGGGAGGATTGTTTTCAGACTCCGTTTTTGTACCTTTTGGGGGCTCCCTCTTACACTCTAAATCTCTCTTTAAATCTATGGTGCCCTAACCTTCTAGTTTCTGCCTTTCGGATTTTATGACACTGGCTATGTTGTCTCCCTCTATTTGTTGAAAGTCAGGCCAAGGACTGTGTTAAAACTGATACAAGCTTTATCACAGAATATATCCTCACAGTAACCATGGGGTATATTATTATTATTATTATTATTATTACTATTATTATTCCCATTTTACAAATGAAATCAAGGCTCAGGATATGAAGCAATTTATCAATGGTATGAAATTTAAAGCTGGTTCTTCCCAGCTGTTCCTAATCATTACATGCTACGCTATCTTTCCATCCTCTGGCTGTATCTAGTTTGAGTTCTACCTTCTTATGATCCTATGCTGTGCTAGCTTATCTCATAAATTACTTTGTGTTAATAACTTTATGTGCTACACCTGCCAGGTGACATATGTCCATATTAACCAGAACCCATCATCTCTGAACCAACAGGGAACTCATGATGCGATTCTCAGGCCTTGCAGCTGGGAGGTCAGGGTGAGAGTCAAGACAGGCAGGGCTTAACTACATCTTTCAAATAACAGCACGTGGCTACTCGACTTTCACATGAAGCTGCCAAGAAGCTAGTTCAAGCCTAGTCTCTGCGAGCTTCCCGGGGGCCATCAGCCCACTCATATCACAGGATGGTGAAGGAAAAGGGCTCATGTTTTGGGGTAAGACCACCCCGGCTTTACTAGTCCAGTGCACTTGGGTGGGTTAGTTTCTCTGAGGTCCCAGTCCACTAAATGATCTTGGATAAGGTAACCCAACTGAGCTTCAACTTCCTTCTCTGTAAAATGGGTATAACATTAGCAACCTTAGAGGGATGTTCTAAGGACAGAAGGAATGCCTGTCCTGGAGTAGAAACCGCTTAGCCTGTTGGGAGAGCTAAGGAGCTCGAGTGGCTGTTTCCAGTAATCAGGGTAGTCTAGACTAGAGTAGGAAAGACGGAAATCAGTTAGAAGTTCACTGGACTCTAAGAGCCTGCCAAATCTGTGAAAACCCGTGCCGGTGAGAGTTGGATGCCCTGTTACAGCAAACGCCCGAGACTGATCTGATCCATGGCTCCTCTGTGCTAGGCTGCCTGGCAGCTGTTGCTGGAAGCACTTTTTTCAGGTGAGAGGTTCCTGAATGAGCCAAGTGGTAGAGTGTAATCATATACCATCTCTGGCCCTCAGAGTACCAGGAGGATGCCAGGGTAACTGAGCTATTCTGGGCTTTCCCTATGGGATCCCCACTTTTCTATGCATATCCCAGAACCTTCTTCTCACCCCCACTGAGACTTCTTCCTCCTTACTCAGGAGATCAGAGGGCAAATGGGAAGAAAAGGAACTGACCACACAACTGGACCTTAACATTTTATTTCCTTAGCTTCGGCACATTTCCATTCATGGAGTACTTGCCCGTCTAAAATCTCCCAGTGTTTACTTCTAACCTACTAAATAATTCCTCTGACCTCTCCTTGTTTTTACCCTTTAAATATCTGTTGATGGTTCATTCACCACATTCCCCATTCAGTTATTAATGGCCCACAAAAACTTACTAGCAGCAATCATTTACTGATTAATCTGCACAACAATCCAGAAAGACAGGGAGTATTTAATCCTTAGTTCTGCACAGGGAAACCAAGGGGAACAGAGAGGTTAACTCAGTCGCCCAAGGTCAGTGGCTAAACAAGATTATAACCAGGATCTACCCTGTCTTGTGTGTCTGTAAACACTCCCCACAGTGTTATTCCCGTTCTTTGCCACTCAACATTGTCAATGCAACTAAATCATTTCTGTGCTGAGATTCCGTTGTTATAGGACAGTTTAAAAGTGTCAAAATCCTACCCAAAATAATTTTGCCTGCAGATAGTTCATAAATAAAAGTTGTTAAAATAAAGAGATAACAGTACTTGAAAGCTAATTTTACAGAGGCAAGAGCAGTGAAAAGATGTAGATTATAGACTCAGCTCTGCCATAAGGAGACTCTGAGAAAGTCAGTTAACTTCTCTGTATCTCTGAGTTATTTGTAAAAATTGGATTATGCTGAATGATACTTAAGATAGCTTGCTGTTTTAAATAAGATGGCTGAATACCTACTAAAACAGCACAAAATATAAAGCTCCAATGTCCATGCTGCCAAGACCGTGGTAAAATTGGTATATCCCTTCACTGGTAATGAAGTACACAACCGCAACCCCCGTGGAAAGCAAGCCTCCAATAGACAAGAACCACAAAGAATGTCAGATCCTTTGACTTAGTAGTTCATCTCAGACCATATTTTACTCTACAAAATAAGTCAATGGAAGCAAAAAAACATACAAATGAAAACGCACATTTTAGTGCTACCTATCATAGGAAAACTTATCAATTTAAATGTTTACTTTAGAGGGACGTCTTATTACATGAAAGCATAGAACAATACGCATGCCATGTTGCTATTAAAAAGGAGAAATATGAAGATTATGCAAAATCATTTAAAATCTTACCATTTAAAATCTCTTAAATGAAAATAACCAAAAGTAAAAGAGCAGCTATGCACTATTATGGCAACAACCGTATTTTCCCATGTAAAAGACGCTCCCATGTATAAGACACACCTTAATTTTGGGGCCTGAAATTTGAAAAAAATGTATTACATAAAGTTATTGAACTCAAGTTTTATTCATCATAAAATTCATACAACTCCTCATTACTTGCGGGAAATGCAAGTAAAAAAAAAATCTACAACCACTGTATAAGACGCACCCAGTTTTTAGACCCCAAATTTTTTGAAAAAGGGTGCATCTTATACATGGGGAAATACGGTACATAAAATGTGAACAGATGTACAAGATCAGAGGAAAACTCAGAATAGCTATGGTATTAGATTTTGTTGTTTTGTTTTTTAATAATTTAACTGTTTTTATTTTATTTTTATTTTTTTTAGCTGCAACATCCTGCCACCTGTTGGCAGCTCAGCAGCAGCTCAGCTCAGGCCGGGAATCAAACTGGCAACCCTATTGCTCAGAGCTCACACTCTTAAGCAAGCTCTTAACCAACTGAGCCACTCGGCTAGCCCCTAACTGTTTTCAATGAATGAAATTTTCTATTAACACATTCATTTGATTAACCATCTAAAAATTTCTCAAACCCTGTTTTGCCTAAATCTCCTAAGTAATTTTTGTTGGCTGACATATTATCTGACATTATTCTTCTAGAGTGATTTCTGCTATATAACTCTTTAGTCTCTTTAGAGAGTCTAAAATCTCAGAACCTTTGCACTTTTTTCCCTCACCTAAGAGGATTCTTAAAAAGATCTGTCATCTAATCTAGCTATGAATAACCCCAGGATTGCCTTGTAATGCTAATATTTGGCTATGCCTGACCCAGGAACCAAGATTTTTCAGATAACTCCCGACCTGTGGGTGCCTCTACAGTAACCACAAAGTTTCCATGATACTTTTCACAGTATATAGGGTAGTTTCATATTCCAAGTTTTGGGAGCTTTACACGAGGACATCTTGTATTTTCAGGGGTCTTAGGACACCCTTCTGGTTCACTTAGCAAAGCAGCTCTTAGGCAGCACTGTTCTACAATAGGACTCTCCCTTCATAGAAGGGCTTTTACAAGCTTATTCATTTCTTAGAAATGTTCTCTTACTAGTAGGTCATTTGTACATCTTTGCTCGTAATATCTAGGAAAGATTGCAGAGTCAATGAATTAAAAATATGATTCTAGGTCTCATGTGTGCCAACGAATGCCCTCATTAAAGCAGAATGAGTGAGATGAGATGGGTTTCAAAGCTTTCCATCCCTTTGCCCCAGAGCCGCCGAGGCCAGGCACTGAAAGGATGCACAGTAAAATTAAATATCTAAAAATTCATCTTTAATTAACAGAATTGGATTAAAGCTAGACACCACCGCATATCATACGAGAAATGGCTGAGCTGGCTTCCAAGTGCTCTAATTCAATTAGGATGAAGTGAGTGACACTCGGACGGGAAAGGTTAATTGGGGGCGCCAGAACGCAATCATTCCTTACCTAACCAGTCATTAAACTTCTTAACCTCTGAGGGCAGTCCCAGCTCGGTGAAATCGCCTGTGTGGAGAAGGATGTCCCCATAAGGCATCTGGATACCATCTGTTCTGGAGTGTGTGTCTGAGATGCAGACAAACCGCGTGTGGCCCGCTGGTTTTGGAGTGTCATATGGGATGGGGTCGACCCTAAAGTAGACATAACAGATCCCATAACAGTTAAATATATTAGAACCCTCGTAATTGTCATCGCACATACATATCGATCTTTATCCGTGAACGCACCCAAACTGATGCAAAGGCAGAAGGGACCATTGTAACAAGGGGCACTTTTGGGTACCAAGGAGACAGCATCACTCATCTACAAACCCCAGTGGGCAAATTTAAAAAGTCTTACTTACCTGGTATGAAAATTAAAAAGAATATCTTACATGCAGAGTCAGAAGTAACCCAGGAAACTGATAAGAGTGATTAATGGTAAAGTTTAAGGATATTGAACCCCAACTGGGGAAGCAAAATTATGCTATTTTCTCTCTCATCATGCTCCAATTGATCCCACTACTCATTAGGAAATGAATAACTAATTTATTCCTTCTTAAACATGCATAAGTTAAGCAATGAACTAATTTACGGAGAGCACTGCACATGACTTGCCAGCTGAGATGTAGAGAAATATAGAGAGTACGAATATTTAATATCCTTTCCAAAACTATTCAACACCGGTACCTTCTCTTTTTTGCTAAGAGATTCTCAAATCAAACTGTGGAGAGGGAAGGTGATGCCAAAATAACGGCGCTTCAAAAAAAAAAATACAGTGTTAAAAAAAAATTTGTCAAGCTCCTTCTTTACCACATTGAATTATCTGTAGTCCCTAGTACACCTTAGGTTACTTGGAATGCCCAAATGCCTCAGGCAAACATTCTATTCTGTACAAACAGTACGCTTTATAATGGGTGTCTATAGATCTACATGTGCATTAATATATGTATAGTTTCAGAGACCTAAGCACTGTGAAATTACACTAGGGCATAAGAATCAAAAGGCAAAATGATCAACCCAAAGCAAAGAAAATGAAACAGAACATTCTCATTTAATTGAGTGTAACAAAGTGTGCTAAATAAACTCGGTAAAGAAATGCAAATCTGACTCTTCAAGCATACAGTTTTAATTATTTAAGGGGTTGGTAGCAGAGTTAAGGGTGCTTTAACTGTATTAACTCTACACTGACAGCTTCCTTTAATTTCTCTGTAGGAATGCGCACTTATTTTGGATCATGGGTGAAAAGCAGCAGTTAGAAATGCAAAGAGAAGGTCACAAGAGAAACAAACATGCAATGTGGAGATTACAGCGTGGAACATTAAATAAGGAATGATATTTCATATCACAGTCCCACCCTGGACAGTTAACATGTAGCAGAGAACACACTGAAAGCTCAACACAAGGTTCCCCGTGTATCTTGCCTCTATAGGCTTTGTTTCATTTTTCTTTCCTTTTCCCTCCGTTTTAAAAAGAAACAATCTGTCTTAACAATGGCATTGTAGTGAGGGAAATAAAGACATCAGTATACATCCTAGCTAGCTTTGCATTTCTTTCATGGTTAATCTTTTAATTTTATTTTATTTTCGACAGAGAAGAAGGAAAGTAAGCAAGAAGACCTAGAAGAAGAGAAAAACGAGGAAAAAAGGAGGGAAGGGCTGTGAACTGGTTAACACAGTGACTCTAACTGGAAACCCAAAAGGCAAGTTTACCTTCCGCAGAAAATTAATGGGTTTTTCCCGTAAGGGTTAGAAATTAATAATACTGTTACCATGGAGAAAATTCACTAATCCACCGAGATCTCATAAGTAACCTGGAAACCTTCCTGATTATATTCAATGTTGATTTCTTTTTTAAATATATGAAAAAGTTTGGTATCTTCCTTTCCATTTCTGAGACTATTACAGTCTCCGTGGTTCTAATCTTATCCATAGCTCCTGTCTTTTAAAAGTAGTTTTCCCAGAGAATGAGTGGCTGTCTACTGCCGCAGCAGACTGTCACCCTCTGAAAATGATAGGTAATATTCTATCCAGGTCCCGTAGTTAAGATGCTCACTAGAATAAGACTGTGCACGTTTATACTTAATCCACCAACATTTGAATTAAATAAATTAACCACTGGGCTTTCAGTATATGAATAAATTCAATATTATATATATGTGTGTATATACACATATATGCTTATTTTCCAGTTCTCATTTTAATAAAACTGTATAGACACAGCCCCCGTTTCTTCTTTTCTATAACTCCACTGAGCTACGGGCACCACTGCTAAATCAAAATCCTTTATGAGTCTATCCAAATTTATCAGAGGCACATCACAGTCACCATTTTGAATTTATTAAACATAAAATAGCACAGATATAAACCCCTCACTGTGAATAGTTCCGTATCCTATGAATCGCCTCCACTGAAAGAAACAAGTCATCACATGGTACATAATTTGTTTCCCATCTTAGCTCTATATTGGGCAATAACTTTCCAAGATGATTGGAACACCAGTCAATTTTTGAATGGCTGCAACTTCCTTCCGCATCCTACCACCTCCTCCAGAGAAACATTGAAATAGCCAACAAAATGAATGTGAAATAAAGACCAAGGAATAGAAAAATAGAGGGGACAGGAAACAGGGAGGAAATGTGTCCTCTCAGCTGGGAGCTGAAATAATGAGTCAGAAGTACACAGAAACAATGGCAGAGAAGGCTCACCCATCAACACCATCAGTTTGATGTCATCAAAGAGAAGCAATCTGTAGGCATGTGGGAGAGAGATGGAGGATTGATTCAAGGTAGAGGATTGGGAAAGTGGGGGGCATGAAACCATGAATGCAGAAATTATATACCTCCCCTGACCCAGAGAGACACCGATGCTCTATGTGACCCACAGGACTAAGAACAAGAAAGCCATGTGAGAGCCACGCTGCAGGAAAACATGATAAACATCACCTGGGGGGCATAGGGTAGAAGACATTCCCACCCAAAGAAAGACATTCAGAGTTGAAAATACGATGTCTAATTAAAGTTGAGTGGATATAATTAAAGTTGAGACTGACCCTAGGGAAACTATTATTTCCAAATTGGGCGTTTGGTCAACACTTCAAAAAATCAGGACAAACATTTTCACTGTAAAAGCATGTTTAAGGGAGACTTTGACTAGACTGGGAGATCAACCTGTTCAGACTGTGTGAAGACCCTCACGCCACATTTTCCCTCTTAGTTAACAACCACTTGACTGCTTACTATTTATGCTGCTAACTTCTCAAATGACCTAACATTTCCCCCAAGGCATCATGTCAAATTTCCCAGCAAGTGAGTCTCTAACCAAGGCAATGGAACCCCCAGAGCCAGATTCAAATATCAGAGCGAGATTTGCACGTACATCTGAGTGCACCCAGGGGAAAACAAGATGACATGGGAAGATGAGAAGAAAACACAGCATCATAAAATCCCAGAGCCGGACAAAAAAACCTTAGGGGGCATCGGGTTCAATGCTTTATATAAAGCTTGAATCCCCTCTGCCCCTTCCCTGCTTAGGTGACATAAATCTTCTTTCCATGCTTTCCAGAGAAAGGGAGCTCTTGAGTCCCCTGCCTTCCCCCAGGGCAGCCCATTCTGGTTTTTGATTGCTCTGCTTGCTGAAAGCTTTCTGATCAGAGTCTGCACCTCTGAAAAGCTGACCACGGTCCAAAGAGACATGGCCCAGAGCCCGACGACTGAGTAACAACTTGGGCTGAGTTATTCACATTGGACAAGTTATTTCATTCTTTTGGTCTTCATTTTTTTTTCCTTCTCATTTGTAAAATGGGAATAATAATGCCTAACCTGTTAAGTTGCTATGAGGATGTAAACTGTCAAGTACTTGGTCTGGCACATAGCACATGCACAGAAAGTAAAGATGCAAAATGACAGAAGGGTGAAATGCATGGTTAGCTCTGCAGCCAGACTATCTGGTTCCGAATCCCCTGCCACATTTATTAACAGTGGGACACCCAGCAAGGTGCTGAAACTGCTATGCCTTGGTTTCCTCCGACCAATGAAATGGACCTAAAAATAGCACCTATGCCATAGGATTGCCATAAGGATAAAAGGGACAAGGTACTCAAAGTGTGTAGAAGAGTGTCTGACACACAGCAGACACTCGATGCATGTTAAGATTTCTTTCCACTAATCAGCAGTATTTTTACTACTATTATCGGTAGGAGTATCCTTTCGTTTCCCTGACCTCCTTCTCTCCTTGTGTTACAAGGAGATAATTACAGCTCCCACACCGGGATGTTGTGAGAATGAGATGAGATCACATACACAGCACCTCGCACTGTACCAGGCACACAAGCCCCAGTCAATAAACCCATTCATTTCCATCCTTTGGTTTCTTTCTCCATCCTAGCTCTGCACTCCCAACCGACAGAGCAGAGGAATCCAGTCCCTTTTCCATTTGCTAGTTCTTCCAATACTTGGGGACATGTATTAGAACCCCCTGCAATCTTCTCTATGCAAGTGGAGGAGGCACAGTTTCTTCAGCTTTCCCTTGTGTGATAGCATTCGAGTGCCCTCGGAATCCTGGGGACCTCCCAGGTACAGACAGTCTGGTTGGTCAGAACCCCTCCGTCTGCGGTGTTAGAACCCATGGACCACTGGGCTGCTTATCAGAGACAAAAGCTAGCCCAGGAGACGGGGCGCCTGCACTGGACACACTGGTGGACTTTCCTCCTGGCCTGAGCTGTCTATCAGCTTAATCCATTTCCTAATTGAATCTCCAGGTTTTGTCCTGAGCCTCAAATCTTGTTCTTGAAACTTGATTCTCAAATGTGTACGTATCTCACTGCATAGTCAAACAAATAAACCATTTTCATTTATTCGGCCTTGGCACATTAGAATTTTTTGCCCATCAAAAAAATATGGTAATATTATTGCTTATACTAAGGAATCCTCTTCTGGCTATATGTGTTACGTTTTTTCCAATAACAAATGCATACAGCATTGCAAGTTCCATCGATAGATCTTCAGAAAAGCTGCTATGATGTGGTTTGTTATGACATGGATTTCTTTTTTAGGCCATGTGTGCAGTAAAAGCCATGTGTACGTAATTAGCCTATAATTCAGTGTCAGGATAGAATATAAGCCTTACGAAGCATTTTAACAGCATCTGAATGTA